TTCGCGCGAGGGAGAGTGGGGGTGCAATAATACTGAGAAGCTATAACATTCGCGCGAGGGAGAGTGGGGGTGCAATAATACTGTAAAGTTATGACATTCCCGCGAGGGAGGGAGAGGGTGCAATAATATTGTGAAGTTATAACATTCCCGCGAGGGTGGGAGGGGGTGCAATAATACTGTGAAGTTATAATATTCCCGCGAGGGAGGGAAGGGTTGCAATAATACTGTGAAGTTATAACATTCTCGCGAGGGAGGGGGGGTGGTGCAACAATACTGTGAAGTGAAGTTACAACATTCAAGATTTTTAATGAATTTCTAGTCAATTGATTGTATTTAAACTGATTGCTTATGCCATTTGATTTGTAAATTATTAGTCTACCGTTATTGAATTGTGTACTCTGAGGTTTGTAGCAACAAATGCTATGTCAAGGACAAATCGAATGTAGTGCAGTTTCGCTAATATTATCATTTTCGTAAACACTCTTTGATGATTCAAAATATTGTAAATAACAAACCAAAAATACTCAAAGCAAAGGTTAAAATAACAATACTTTTTTAGAGTTGAACATGAAACAAATAAGCAGTAAATTTATAAATGAACAGCAGTGAATGGTGTCGCTATGCCAAAAATGTTATTTTCTTTAGCCTTTAGCTTGTTTGGAAAACTGCGATATACGAGTACAGTGGCACATTTCTTAAATTTATAAATAAATCATAATTTTATCAAAAACTATACAGTTAACAAAATTAAGCATCTATAAAAAATTAGTCAGTGGTTCACTTGATAAGCACCCCAAATATGGTATTTTTGTTCATTTTAAACCATTTGTTCCTGTTAATCTAATTGATTGATATGTTTATAAAAGAAAACATTAAAATTATTATTTTACTATATTAAAAACGGGTGAGCAAGAGGACCCGGTTCTATAGGTGGACTGAACCTTCAGCTTAAGATGGGCTCCGAATCACTTTATCGGGATGACTTATGCATTTGAACCGTGATTCTAGGACCACTCCTGTGGTCTACCAGACCAACCCCGTCAAGACCATTGGGCAATTCTTGTACAGAAAAATTATTCCAAAAATTATCCTAAAGTATTCTAATTAACTGAGATGATAATAATTACCAATATTCCAATCAATTTACTCGCACACCTCAAGGTGGTTGCAACCCACTCTGAACATTCCCGCCATTTGCGATCGGAGACCATTCCCGCGCTATTTGCGAGCTGCGACCACCTTGACACCTATAACTAGGCCAGACACAACAGTAGGCGCCTGTTTTGGCAGTAAGAGTTACATATTCCCACATTCAGTGCGTGGCGCGTCCGTTACACTAGTGGCCCACATAACTAACCACCCAGCCTAGTTCCCTTACCTTCCTTACACGCTCGTCATGTCATACGCCATTCATACCACGTACCACGTTCTGAGAGGTGTAGTGCTTGCCTTCATATCAGAAATCGCCGGTTCGATCCTAAAAGGGAGCAGTTCTGCAACTGTGCAACTGTGCTGTCTGTGTGTCTGTATGATGGAACTTGTCTCCTGAGCCTTCGTCTACCTGAGTACTGACCAATGGTTAAGGACCGGGCCTGTCAAATCTGAGACGAAAGGTTAAAATCGGACTTTTGGAGACAGGGTCCACAATAATCTAGGTAATCAAGATAACGTCATAATCATAATCTAGACATAATCTAGATAGTATCAAGATTCAAGACTTCAGTTTGGAACGTTCCCATAAAAAATGAAAACAATGCCAATTTTGATCAAACGCACAAAACAAACCTGGAAATTAAGAGTTGTTGGTAGAAATGAATGAATGGGCAGCAGGGTGGGTGTGTTATCAAATTACTATTGCAATATTCATTCGATCTTAATGATAGTTTCTGTTTCTGTTGAATTCTGTTATTCGAATTTGAATTAGTAAGTTAATGTATTATAAGAGGACAACTACATGAATGAAGTCACTACACTTTAATTTTGACCCTCTGATCTGTAAACATCGAAGTTTACTTCTGACGTATTTACGTAGTAAATAACGTAAATATATAGTAGTATTTAAGATTTATATTGCAATTCATGTTTCATTAATTCGCTAAGAAATTGAAAATCCAACAAAGGCAATGGAGACAGGCAATGGACGCAGTTATAGGAAATGAGTTCCTACCCATTTCCAGCTTCCTGAATTTAAGGAATTAATCCTGATTAAAGTTTACAAAATCATTCAGCTCAAGGAGACAAACAACCTATAATGGTAGTCAATGATGAAAGTCTATTTTGCTTTAAATCAGCTATTGCAAAAGTTAAGAATGTATTTACTAATATTTTAGTAGCTAACGTATATGGAATGTCAAAGAACAGATTACGTTTGTAAAAACCTTGCCTCATCTCATGGCCGGAAAGCGTCCACCACCGCAACACACTAACAAAAAGATCGTATTCACAGCAGATAAGGAAGCCACAAAGACACAGGTGAATATAATGAACATAATTAAACTGCTATCAACTGGATAAAACCACAAAAGTGTACGCGGAAGACACGTCTAGTTACATAAGAAGAAACAAACCCCTCCACGTAGAGCTACGTGCAGACTGCAGACCATCCAGTTGTTATCTTTGCCAAAACCTTTCCTCACGTAGTTAACCTTGCATTTGCACAACTTCCCGTTACGAGGGAAGAAACATATTCTGGACATGGAGTTACTTATGTCACCGTGCACTTTGGCCTCAGCGGTGTGTGAAATTACCTTTCTCTAAAGCAAGTTCCTTTCTTTCACTTGTCCTGAGTTTTGGCCAACACACGGCAATCTGCACCGAATTGAGTAATGCTCAATCTGACGGTAGTTTTGTACGTTATTTGACGTCACTTTCTTCGGCGGTATCACGTGAAGGACATAACAGTTTGATTTCTCTAGCCGCAACGAACTACGTCAAACCACATCGATGACGGCCAATTTATAGAGAGAAATGTGCATTCCTAAAAAGGCTGGTGAAACGGAAAGTGAAATTTGATGACATCGAGACATTTTATTTTAAATGCCAAGGTCATTTCAGATACTATTACTCTCAGTTTGATAGAAGTAGTAAAATTCAAATTCAAAGTAATTTTGGAATTTATTTAAGTCAGAAGATGTGGATATTCCTATGAATATCTTTTTCTTAAATATCGATCACTATTGATTGATATTTAAAAAAATGCTAAGTTATAAAGCTAAGTAATTCCGATATCATTATTGATTAAAACCCGTGCTTATTAACCGTCAAATTAATTTCATAATATATTTCCCTAGATTTACGAGTAAAAAACAATCTAAACCTTTCAGAATAAATTATTGTAATAAAGTCATGTTAAGAATTGACATATTCTTTCCTACTAATCAGAATCAGAAATTTGTATTGCCATAAATACAAAAAGGTACAGGGCAAAAGTCACTAAAACTAAACAGTAATTCCATTAGCTACTCTAAATTTTCATTACGTTGTAACAATATACAGCCTGTCAGAAGTCGCTAACTCCCACTCCGATGCGGCCGGGCAGAAACAGCCAAAAACAATGTCGTTCCCAAGCGTAAACCTTGCGGTACCGCGCAGATAGCGTCGACCAAATACCGGTACGGTCGTCAGCCGGGATTATCCGCCCGAACGCCAAACTACGGCTGACCGGACAAATCTATTGCACGGTTTTTACGGAAATTGTGAATGCCGTAGTCATGCGTGGCTAACTCGACTGCACGAACCTTGCATTCCCATACACACTATAGTGTCGGATGTCCAGACGGTCTGGGCTGTAGGCACGTCCGTAATTGTCAGCAGAATCCGTCCGTTAGATTTTCACTTTCGGCACTTTAGACGTGATCCGATTATAGGGATTCCATTTATAGTTATGACTCGGACTTTGAATATCGGTCAGGAGCTATAAATATATTAAATTTGGACGCCTGACGGTATTGGGACATTTATGGACTCGTCGAACAAAGATTTACGGCACAGTGTTATTTGTTTTGACAGTCCGAAACTGTTTGGAATGCCTACTTTTAGTTTTGAAACTTAAAATTGTCAACTCTTGGTCTTCAGATGTTTATGTCTTTGAGTTGGTGAAAATACTGGCCCAAGTTTAAGATGTGTTGTAGCAATTCATCTCGAACGCAACACAAGTCAGATGAATTGTTGCCAAAACATCAGCCTGTATTTTCACCAGTTCAAAGACACAGTAATCTTCTGAGAAGCGTACTTTCTAATTCAAGAAATTACCAAATTTGATAAGGTATACGACTTGAAATGCACACATTTTCAATGAAAGCAGATTTATTACATTTCCTCGAAACTATCTTAGCCAAACAAATTACGACGAAACATGAATGAATTGAAACAGTCCGCACTCTCTACAATCTGCGTGGTTAGCAGATCACGTCAACCTCCAAAAACAGAGCTGACACGTAAAAAGCTATCAACTGGCTATTCCGTATCTTGGTTATTCCGTAGCCAATCCTCATATCAGTTGCATCTTGAAAAATGAACAATCACTTCCTAACATAGATAAACTGACTTCACCGCTATTCTTAATTTATTCAAGCATTAAGTATTGCCAGTTTCTTGATCAATTGATTGAATTTGAATAAGGAGTATATGTTTCATTAATTTATGTTACTACTTTGGGGGAAAAAGGAACGCAACATTGAATTGAGACCCCTACAGAGTGTACTGTTATCAAATGCAGTTATATACCTACAGATGGGAAATAGTTAATATGCTAATCTGAAATGTAACCCGTTGAATTTGGATGCTTAAAGTATACTTTTCATCATATTTTATAGTAGGCAGGCCTAACATTTGAGCCCTATTTTGATTCCCGGTTTTGTTTGAGTGTACTGATGTAAACTATAAAAGCTATCCTTAGATACATTTTACATCAAGCGATTCTACGAGCCTCCTTTTAAAACAAAGCTGGAACACAAAGATGAAATGTCCACTCCAGTATCCAACGTCTTGCAGGTACTCACCACAGAAGGGAATCCCCTCTGGTGTCCACTGGCCATCATTACCGCAGACCCTCCTGGAAGGACCTAGCAGCTCGAACCCTCTCTCGCACGTGTAGGTGGCCACAGTCCCGGGGGTCAGCGTTGTGTTGCTGAAGAACACTGAGGAGTGAGCCGGAGCTCCGGGGAACCCACAGGTTATCGCTCCTGCAACAAGCAATTTAAACTATTAGACTTGCTGGGTTACTGAGTCATCAGAAGATACCAGTACCTTTTAGATGACACTTTTCATGTTTTAAAACTGGACCAACCTGCCTTTGGTCATTGGGATTTTATAAATCGTTCCGACTAAAGGACATTGGTCAGTCAGTAAGAAAGGTATCATCTCATTCAATCAACACACCCTTCGTCCTTGCCTAGAAACACACATCTTGTTGAATCGGCGTCGTACAAGTCTGGCCTAATCTAATGACCATTGCCAACCCGAGTCATTTCATAATACAACAATATAACTTTGCACACATCCATCACTAAACATCGAAAGGAGTCAAATTGTTACAGAGGTAAAATTTGTAAATCGTACAAATTGAGAATCTACAGTACCTATTAACTACTATTACAGGTTGAAAGTGCCTTAAAGTGACACTGTGATGTTTTGAGAACGATTCTCCGATACTCCAATTTGATAGTAAGGTTTTTAAATTAGGCGATAAATGCATTTTTGTGCTCCTTGTGGCTGTCAACCTAAATACTTATTGAACATGGTGTTTATATTACATAATGCGTAGGGCCTATGTGTAAGTGGTTTTTTTTTGTGAATACGTTTGTATGACAATTAAGAACATTACAAATCCACCTATCACACAGGTTCGCTTCGTTTTGGTGGTTTTATTCTGTTGTGTCAAGAATTTTATCAGAAGGTTCTGCATACCTAATTTGCAGCAAATGTTTCTTAAACCAAACCAGTGACCTAAAGCTACATAATATAGAGGACTCTCCGTTATTTTGTAGTTTTAAACGCTAGCCATGAAAGCGTGTGTTATAATTTTAGAGGGATTGTCATCGTTAATAGCTCTTGATAAAAACTATAATCGAATATCTGTGTTTGGTCGGGTGGAAAAGAAAGCAACGAAAGTGGACGGTGGTCACCGGCGAAGTTCCGCATGAAGGTCCTTAGTTGTGGGATGTCCCCTAGAGTCACAAGAAAGTCTGCACTTTCTCTCATCTATGCACGTCATTCAATGCATAATCTAAATTAGGGCTTTCAAATATTCATTATGTCTTTTTCATCAACAAACAAGAAAGCTAAGAAAGACAGGATGTTAATTTCTTATCTAACGTGATCTTTCTTCAAAAAGTCTTTTAAATTGTCTTTTAAACTGCCTTCAAATTTAATCGCAGTTTGTGACAACGACATGACTGAATAAAATACGGACAAAATTGACAAGGAGGGTTAAATACAGAAATGGGCAAAATACAGGTACCATTTACATCTCTCATTTCGTATTAGCTAGAAAATACCGTTACACCTAATTTTTAAAGTTTGTTTTATGTAGAATCATGTATTGAAAAATTTCCCTTACAAAAATACTACAAAAATACATTCTGTTTTGCTATTTCAAATTAGAATACCTTTCAATTTGTTTGATATTACAGCTACAGTTAATGTTGCACACTAAGCTTTACAAAAAGTTAAAGACTGAGTCAAGTGTAGGGATAGAATTAACATTTCAAAGTCAGTATTTGATAACAATATACCCAACGCTTTCAATAGACGTCCAGTAAATTTAAGTCTAATGAGAAATTGATGGCACCACATCCAATCCCTAGGAATCTTTATTCAATCGGGACCAAATAACACTATTATTCGCCTCACATGGTCACACAAGCGCCAAACTATTTGTCAGGCCGGAACCGATTGTAACCTCAATTCTTTTAGAAACGGAATAACCTCAGAATGCCAAGAGGTTTTGCCGAGTAATGCTGGCAGACAGAATGAATCTGGGCGAAATGTCAGTTTGAAATTAATATTTGATTCTCGCTCTCCTAAATGTGAAAAGGCGCGGGGGAGACGTTTGTGTGTTAATTGTTGTGGAGGTGTTCAGAACATTAACATCAACATCCGTCATGTTTTAAACTATGTCAGGACGAGAGAAAGTATGAATCTTCCATGTGCTTGGGATGTTTTAATCCGTGGTAAAGGTTAAAGAAACTACGTAAGTTTTTTTTAAATCGTTTAAGAATTTAGAAAGTTATTGCTTCCATTTATTCATAAGTAAATAAACTTTTAAGCTTACTTACTCCTACTCCAACAATTGGTAGTGATATCTAATTACACACTCCATATTGTTCGCAACGATTAGACCGATATGTTTTGTCGTGGTGTGTAACCCGGCCTTTAGTTTTTATGCATTTTAGACTCGTAATGTCAAAAAACGCTAGTTAACAAATGTGTGTATTAAATATGAAATTCGCCCACCGGAAGATTTTCTAACAGTTGAAGAACTCACGCAATTCAATCCTAGGAAGTCTTCGAACGAGAGAGTATTACGGTATTACAGCTGAAAAGGGCAATGTCCTAGAACAGCACTGAAAAATCTTCTAAAGGAAACTTTCTGTTATACACTCTCATCCCAGACTCATGGCGAGTCTCTTAGAACAAACGCAGCTAAACAAACAGAAATTAAACTTTCCAGGTTGGGGGTCAACAACTACTAGCTAACAAATCGCATATTCAATCGCACCTCTATAAACCAATATAACTGCAGTATCGATGGGAGAGGCACGAAGATCGTGACTTTGAACTTGAGGTGGGTCAAGGACTGATTGCGAACCTGTGGAAGAAAGTACCCGAGCTATTAGCAGCATCCTGCCTCTTAGTGTATTTATATCTGGCCAAGTACTTGGGAAAAAAATGAAGAGGTAAGAGTTGTAGAACTCCAATTCAATGAGTTATAAATTGTTATTTTTCTCCCATGTTGTTTTAAGTCAAGTTTGGCTTTGAGATTGGTGAATCAACGGTGATAATTAAACAAATGGGCGTGTTTAATTTATAAAAAAAAAACTATTTTGATTGCAATGTAAAGCTAAATTAAAGCTCACGTTTCTAGTTTACACTGCACACCAAAGTTACCAAAGTAACCAAGTTACCAAAGTTACCAAGTCTGCAAATAGTTACTAAATATACCTTCAGAGTCTTGCATATAGCATATATAGGGTGTCCCACGAAGGGGTTTAAACGTTTGATTTTATATTACGCGCCCATTCATGCACCGAACTTTTTGAAACTTTACACAGTTTACAAAGTAGGTTCTAAAAATATTCTGGAAAAATGTCAACTCCCTAACCTTAGTAGAAACAAAATGGCGGCATATTGAAAAACGTTACTTTAAAAACATTAAAAAAGCTATTTTTGGTTTTATAAAATATTTTTATTGTTACTTTCCAGGGCAATATGACTTTTAAATAAAAAAAAACTAGAACATAGCCTAATGGAAAACTAAAAATAAATCAAATAACTAATAAATAATAATAATAAATAAATAACTAATAGTAAATCATTAAAGTAGTTTTTATAGAAAGCACATTGGTAAATTTGTCAATATGCCGCCATTTTGTTTCTACTAAGGTTAGGGAGTTGACATTTTTCCAGAATATTTTTAAAACCTACTTTGTAAACTGTGTAAAGTTTAAACAAGTTCGGTGCATTAATGGGCACGTAATATAAAATCAAACGTTTAAACCCCTTCGTGGGACACCCTGGTACATATATATGGATAATTTGGTGACAAATACGAGAGGGAAAACCATGGGTAGTCTTAATTAATGAGCACAAACAAATTATGGAAAACTTATTATTAACAAATTATGGAGAACCACTCAGCAGAAAATGCTAAGAAATGCCGTGATTATATTATATTGTTCAGCACTATATTTATTCAGTTGAGCAATTACACTAAAAGAACTACTCCAAGTAAGCTATTACATTGAACATCTTTCGCGTGGAAATGCACAAATTGAGCTGACGTGCTTGGACTTAGAGTCCTTTTCACATGAATCAAGGATTGGAACGTAGGGAGAAATTGTATCAATCCAACAAACATTAAATTTTCTCAGATTTCCTAACCCCTTCGTCTCATTTCAAAGTTGACATTCTTGCATTTTATCTTCGTAAGCTTACCAAAGTCAGCTGTTCTTAGAGCGATACCGCCTCTAACCCAGCAGATGGCCGGAGGATTACCCGCCATAAAATGTCGCTCACACGGCCGCTGCCCTGAGTGATCCGCAGGTAATGTCACGTGATCATCAACATGTGGCGAGTGGAAGATGTGAAGATCATGAAGAAGTACTCGTGTGGAAGACAAGATTAAACGAGACCATTTCACTGATCTGCGGTCAGTCACCTCCATTGAGGTTTGATCTGTATCAAATTGCCTGCAGAGACTCCAAAAGTGTTTTACAGCGTTTTGCTTCAACAACTGAATTACTGATATCAGTTACTATATCAGTATTGATAATTTAATCACGATGTATTAAAAAATATATAAAAAAAACTTTGATTATTGATAGGACTATTAATAACTGGTGATCTTCAAGGTCTCAACCAAGGTAACTCATAGAAGTTTCCCTCCCTTTATGAGCATTTGAGTAAGTTTCCGAAAGAACACTATTCATCTTGAAGTATAGGCTACGTCCCTTTGCCATGTTAAATCTGAAGTCAGTTTTAGAATTGAAGTTGTGTGGTTGAATTAAAACACCAATAGAGTGCATTGATGTGAAATACACATTTCTTTTAAACATGTAAACTTTTTTAACAAGCATTACAACTTGTTATAATAATCTGTAGCATCTTTTATGTCATATCAAATTAATATAGTAGTACCTTTGACTATTAATACAACATACCTAGTACCAAAAACTACACCAAGAGAGTTATCAAGACCCATTTTCTTTAGTTTGCTGATTATATAAAACTGTTTGTGGAAGGTTGCTTCCCTCCATGATTTTGAGTCCTTGCTGAAGGCTCTTAATGATGTCTCAGCTCAGCTAAGACATGACCAAAGATAATGGTGAATCCCACTAAGAATAAGATGAAAATTTTAGCATCAAACAAAATTCTCTGGATATTGAATATTTACTACATTCTTATTATGACTCGTCATATGAGTTTGGGCCTGACATTAACCAAATCCGCGCCAAAACCTCTG